ATCTATGTCTATTTACCTGAATCAATATTACATAGCAGATTGATATCTTTGGTTCCATCCAAAATTTCCTCATTGACTAGTATTTTCCGTCGTGTGTCCTTCTTAATTCTTTTATATAACAAATCGGTTAAGAATGTATCAAAATATTTTAAAAAGTATCGAAAGTTGTCTTCGTTTTTATCCAATTCTTCATCTTGATCTGCTTCAAGTACAGATTCTTCTGTGTAACTCCTGCAACAAAAAATAAAATCAGATTCAAATATAACTACAAACAAATAAAGATACAGCTAATTTGATATCTCACGATCTGTAAGAATCAGGTTCAACTCCACAAAAAATTCCTTCGTCTTCAGATGTGCTCTCATTTGTAGAAAAGTTTTCGTTGATGTATCTTCTTAGCATTACCTTTGGATAAAATTGAATTAAATGCATACTTGTCATGGATCCGTTACTATGATTTCTCAAAAGTTACCTTTTCAATTTTGAGTGGCATTTCAGTTCCTTCGGAAGATATTTCATATCTTATTGGTATTGTGCAAGGATTTCTCAATCTCAAAATTTTTGTGGTAGATACTCCTTCAAATGGTAACTCCAATTTAATATTAATTAATCATAATAAAATTGTTATAATACTACCTGATACACACCTAAAATCACGTATGCAAAAACCATACACTTTACTGGATTTCCCTTGTTGTCCGTCACGTGAATTCTAGGCCAGACTATACTGCCACTATAATGCAGTAACAATCTTTGGAACTAGATATCAAGGATTATTTAGGATTTCTACTTACGTTATATTGATTTTAAAATACTGCATACTTTCTTCGACGAAGTATTTAAATTCTTCAACGAATGGACCCATCGAGTTGCTGGTAAATTTGAGTATGGAACTCGCGTAAGCAGAAGGTTCCAGGTAGAAGCATTTGGGTTCGGAGGAAATGTTGGCGCCGACCAAGGTTGCCGGCTTATTGCAGGCGTGTACGGTTGCTGGAATCGGACCTGGAGAATGGAAAGCTTAACAGAATTAGTTGTTTTTATTAAATGAATTTGCATTTACCGTTGTTGCTGAATAGTATTTGGTAGTTCTGGATCTCGTTAATGACGACGTTTCCAGCGTCTATAGTTTTGACGTTTAATTTTACGTTTGGACCTAAAGGACAGGCTTTGATGGTCAACGTAGGTCTCTGGGCGATTCCTGCAAAAAATATATACTTTAGAAAGATTTATTGGAACTATTAAAGTTAAAATAGTATACCTGAAACGTTTAAGTAAGCCTTGACTTCGACCGTTTCATTAAACTTGGAATCGCTGCGTTGTTGTGGCTTGTGAAAAATATCAATATGGGCAAACGAATCAGCAAAAATTTCGCCACTCTGAAAAAACAATCAAACGGTATAAAATGCGCATCTTAAACATCAAAATATTATCTTTAATCCTGACCTCTGGAACGAAAGTAAAATCAGGATGCGAAAATAGGACAGGTTTCGTCATAAAATCAGAAATTTCATCCTGAGCAATCCTATTCAAAACAACCTCATGCTGATCTTTACTGAAAGCCAACATATCATAAACTGCTCCGCTGTGGGAACGTTGAGCTTCATAACCAGTTATAGATTGCATCTTTTCAGATATTTTCATTTTGGCTTCATTTTCTGGTGAAGCACAAATTAACAAATACATTCAATCTCCAGTTATTAGCAATTGCACTTACCTTCATCCTGAGATTCGTATTTGACCCAGGAGTAGTTGATGTTGTGTTTGCTGAAATTGAAAATTTTCACGCATTCGCGATTTGTCAAACCCAAATAGGTTTCAGGAAAATACAATTCGTTCAGGCTCAAGCTCACATCGGCTGTATACGAGTTTCCTGACAGGATTATTGATAATTTATCACCTGCGGAAAAGTAAATAGTAAGTAAATGACTCATAAATAAAAATTGTACATCTATCATTCTTATCATGCATTTCTTACCTTGATCATAATAGACTTCAAGCTCACCATATATTTTACCCAAAATTTTTGGTTGAAACTCGAGGAAAATTTGCATGTGGTTAGATGTGGCCAAGCTGCATTTTTCGGGAGTCACTTTAAATGGTCTAAAATGGATAATACCATATTGTAAGGTTTTTATCGATTTTTCTGGCATATGTGACTTACGGTTTTGTGTACAAGGAAAACAAAGCTCGAATTCGTCCAGTATTTCTTATGAGGACCACTTTGGTGCTCGGGACACCAAAAGCAGTATCAGGAAGTTTGATCTCGTCAGGAAATGTTACTAGAGGTCTACTTCCTATTACTAAATTGATAAATGGTTATATATATATATATATATATATATATATATATATATATATATATATATATTTACATATATTTACCTATAATTTTTAAATGTTTTGTTTCCCCTTGTGTATCAAACACAGCTCGTCTTACATAATCACCATCTTGCACACTATGTTGTGGCCTGAAATTATACTAAATGTGAGTGGCATTATTCCTTAAATATAACTACTATCTACGATTTTTGTATAATATTTCAATCATACCGTCAGATACCACCAATTCCTTCGCATAAATATAGAACTATTACTAGCTACATTCTTATTCACTTAATAACTTCTTAATGGATCTTGTATACTACCTTTTATACCCTATATTTTTACCTTACACTCTATCTTATGTCACTAGTGGATTGAACCCGGGACCTCCACATGGCGTATTTTGAACTCTATCGTGTGCAACTTGTTTGGAGTCAGTGCAAGATAACAAAATATCAACATATGCACATTATAATGATCTTAAACCCACCAATGCCAGAAAAGTATCACTTTTTATTCTTGTACCTGTATGAAACATTAAATGTGGTGCTGATTCCTGGTGCAAGCCTTGCGGGCGTTACACCTTCTACATTTTTGATGCTGATGTCTGAACCAAATATCGATGATGACTTACGAGGCTGGATCGAGTCAAAATTGGATTTCAAGGGCTTCAAAGTCTGTAATGAAAAATATAAATAACATAATTTAATAATTATTCATTATTACTTGTTACCTGGGCAATATTTAAAATGGTAAAATTGACACCATAAGTGCTACCGGCCACACCGTTTTGAAAAACTATCACATCTGGTCTTAGATCCAGGATGGTAGTAATGTTGCTGGTTGTTTTTGTGCTTTCACTGGCTGCGAATATATTTTGAAGGTGTTATTAAAAATGGTTGTGCCTAGATTATTTTATTTTTACAGGTTGTAAAAATGTTACATTAATTTGGCGTCATTAGATTTTTACTGTTACCAGAGTCGTCGGTGAATGTCCCTTTGCATATGAAGGCGTTGGAAATCCATTCAAGACGACTTTCTGTCGACATTGAAAATTCCTTCAAGTATGTGGATGGCGAAATCTAGAGAAAATAGGAAATGAACTAGTTGTAAGTGCTATTTTGCCATTTAAGGCAAGTTGCAATCGGTTCATTATTCCAAGTTTAGAATAATGAACCGCGCCCTTAGGGCATACATCGTGTATGTCCTAATCTATTATAAATACTAGTACGTGATAAGTTTGCTTCTAAACAAAATGCCACGTACACCTAGTTTTTATTAGAAACTTATCAGTTTTAATATTTTTGCTGTAATATTTTTTTAAAGAATTACAAGGAACTCTTCAAAAATCACTGAATGCTTTTAATTAAAATTTACAAAATTTGAGTGCGCATTTTTACGATGTTCTTATTATTTTGTTATTTTATTATTATTACTTATTTCATAAGTAGTCAACGTAAATAATATATTAATTTCTCATTGATCAAGTCGATTTATTTACACATCTCAGGAAGTTAATGCAACTTGCTATAAAGTAAAATACCAATCTTTTCATGTTTCCCAGCTCAAGTAAAAGTGAATGAGAAAATGTGTTGTTAGACACATAGATGACATGACAAGCACTCGTAACTTTTTTTACAATTTAAACTATTTGTGATAACAATGGTAATGTATAATTATTTTACACGTGCATCTTGCCTTAGGGCCTCTTACACCTAATTGAGCAAATAATTTCTTAAAATACCTTTCTTGTAACGTCATAATCTTTAATAAAAAATGCCAATAATTTCTCGGCATCCAAACGAATCATTGCACCTGTGTCCATTTTATATTTTATTTTAAAATAATAAAAATATTTTATTTTCATCAGTCACATATTTTTGTTTTATCATGCATGCTTTGAAAAAGCAAACATCGTTTTTGATTGCTTTTTATTTTTGAAACAGTAACAAAATTCTACTTTTAAATTTTTATTTTTGTAATAATTTTTTGAAAATTGTTGGAGACAAAAAGAGGAAATAATGAAGGAATGATGAATAGGAGAAGTACAAGTGAACTGTCTGGTAGTGAAGGGACGATGGATACCTCAAGTGATGAACCTTCTAGTAGTGAATATACAATGGATTGCAGAACTGACGACTCATATGATCCTTTTAGAAGGTTTACAAAAATTTATTAATTTCCCGAAGGACAGGTTTATGTATAAACCAAAAAATTAGATTTGCCTATGTTCTCTTCTGAAATGACGTATCAAAAGTATCTATATAGTTTTTAATCATTAATAATTAAATTAACTTCAATTTTATTTATCAATGATCATGTTGATGCAGGTACCCATATAGTTTTTATTGTGTATCATTTAAATAGGTAAATTTAGATAAATGCATGGGCCGATTCTGTCGTAAAATAGACCATCAATGTTATGGCAAGGCTATGTTACGTGGAAGTTTTCATACAAACTTGTACTCAATATTGTCAAAATACGATGTATTTGCTGCACGATCGAATAAATCAAAAGCCATTTGTTGAAATCGTGGTTATATATACATATCGTGGAAGTTGCTGAGGGCAAAATTTCACTTACACCTAGTTTAATCCATATTTAATAAAGATTATGGCTAAATTTTCTACTTAATTACTTCTTATCATTATTAATGTATTTTTTCTAATTTTACCAGATCGCCATCCGGATCAGATCATGGATCTCGCTCAACGTCAAGAAATTTATCCAACTCTGACAACACACTGTTTGAAATCATTCAGATGCGCGATAAATTACGAAAAGGAGCCAATACTGTTTGCGCCTCTGATTTTGAAAACGAAAGTAATTAATTAATTTTAATTATAAAATAAACACAAGTGTTCATATTGTCATTCATACCTATTTTTCAGAAAGGAAATCCAAATCGACTTCTGGCAAGAGAAAACGTTCCTCCAGTCGATCATCTTCAAGAAGCTCTAAGAAGTTTGCCAGGAAACGTTCTGCTGCCTGCTCTGCAGCCCTGGGGGATGAAGATTCGGACGACGACATTGGCGGAGGTTGTGAAAAAAGAGAGAAGAGTAACCCCAAGTTTTGTCCTGGAAAATCCGCCAAAGTCGGTGTGATAACCAGGAATCCCTTCTTCAACTTTCTGAGGACTTTCAGAAGACAAAATCCAGGGATGGGTGCTGTTGATATTGTAGTTCAAGGAGCTAGGGTAAGTGGAATAAAATGTTGCGCTGTTTATTTATAATATCAAAGTTGATGTTTCGGATTTGTGAATTGACGCCAAAATCTGGCATTTGATTTATAACAACAGAATTAATGTTTTTGATTTGTTAGACTTGGAATTGTATGGCTTGTAGCGATAAACAGCCCTATATCAATGAGGCCAAAAAAGCGGAGCCTTCAAAAAGGCGCGAGTCTGAAAGATGCCCTAAATGCAATGCCATTCTAGCCAGAAGGTAAATTATTAAACAATGTTGTACATGTTCGTATTATTCTACAATCGAATGCCATTTTAGAGGTCGTCGAAAACGTAAATGCAAAGCAAAGTCTAAAAACGTCCGTTTTGCGCGCAAAAGACTATCGCGGGGAAGGCATCGTAGATCAGGCTCCAGAAGTAGGCGAGGCAGGTCCCATAGGAGGTGCAGAAAATAAAATGGGCAAAATAGTAGAGAAGGATTGTTTTGGATAAAAAAAATGTTTATATACTGGTTTGCATATATATGTTTGTACTGTTTTATTAAATATTTGTTGTGTTTGAGTTTAACTTTAAAGTACAATCAATAGTCATAAAATAATTAATAATATATTGAAATTTGTTCCGCTGAACATATATCAGTTGTGTTGAACAATTAATTTAAGTTTGTCGAGTGCTAGCCATGTTGTCCAAACCTAATGCATTATTTCCATTACACGTGTATTCCATTAGTTTTATTGTTATAAACGTTTTATTGTTAATTTCATATGTATACATAATAGAATTATTAATACCACCGATAACAATTAATAACAACATAAAAAAAGAAAAGGACTGTACTGACGACCAAATAGAACAAGACAAAAAGACTTATAAAAAGGGCGTTCCTGAAAAGGACAAGAAGTTCTATGATTTTTAGAAATTCACTAAAGGTTGGAATAAAGTATTAGACGTACTTGAGACGTACACAATATGTAATAATTTGAATAATTTCAGATTTAGGTTTGTTTAAAGATACCAATTTGGCCATCACAGTTTGAGGATTCTTTACGTGTGAACAATTCAAACATGGCGGCAATGTGGCCAACATTGACGATTATTTTGACGTACAAAATAAACTTTTTATTATTTACATTACATTAAAATAGACATTATATATAAATAGAGTAATTTATAAAAATAAATGTAATTTATAAAAATATTCCTGTTGAGATGATAAGCTTGAAGATGATTATCAAAACCATATCAAAACATTTCTTTCTAAAATGTTACGACGGGAAAAATTCCTAACCTTATGCTGCAAGTATCACCTTAAATTAGTTAAATTTAATATCATTGATTAAAATACATGATTAATTAGTACACAACCGTTTTCTCTGTTATAATCAGGTAAAATATCTAATAATGTCAGAAGAAAAAACTACCTCGGTTAAAATTGAACCACTAGAATATTCAGCAGAAGATCCTCAAGATGAAGAGGATATTAAGTCTGAATCTTGTTCAGAGAATGGAGAAACATGTCTGGAAAGATTTATGAATTCTAAAATAACTGTAGAGGAAGAAATCAAACAGGAATTAATGCAGACTCCTATAAAACCTTTCGTATGCACAATATGTGATAATGCATTTGCTTTAAGACACCATTTAGATCGACATATTATTGCTCATAACAGAGAACTGCCAATTCATGCCGGAGAACTTCTTTTGAAGTGCAAAATATGCAACAGAGACTTCCATTCATCAAAAGGTTTGAAACGACACATGTACACTCATACTGGAGAACAGCAACATATTGCTCATAACAGAGAACAGCCAATTCATTCTGGAGAACTTGCTTGCAAATGCAATATATGTAACAGAAACTTTCGTTCACCAAAAGGTTTGAAACGACATATGTTCACTCATACTGGAAAACAGCAACATATCTGCAAAATATGTGATAAGACATTCACACGATTGATTCGATTAGAGAAACACATGCTTATTCATTCTGAAGAACTTCCTTATAACTGTGGAATATGTAACAAACTATTTCGTTCCGTATATAGTTTAAAAAAACATATGACTAATCATTCTGGAAATTTTCTTCAGAAATGTGGAATATGCAATAAATCATTAGCACAATCTGATGCTTTAAATGCACACAAGTTTATCAATTCTAGAGAATTTCCTTATCAATGTGAAACATGTAGCAAATCTCTTCATGCATCAAAAACTTTAAATAACCATAAAGCTCAATAATATAAAATATATGAGAAGAGACACTTGGGTGCTCATGTGAAAGCCAGTGAAATATTTATAAACGGTTATTTCTGTAAACCTGCTCTAATTATTGTGATTATTCTTGTATTGTTTAAATTGATGTACACATTTATATATTGATCATAAGCTTTTCGGACATACAAGCACTTGGTTGTGCATTATAATTAATTTAATTACAGATTTTTTAGTGATATTAGTTCATGCAACTTGCCTCAAGGCAAAATGCTACTTACATCTAGTAGTTTTAGTTAAATTATATATCGATTTTATTAGCAATAATATGTTATTTAATGTCTCTTACTGTGATTGTTAATTTTAAATTTTCGTTATATTGTTCTTGTGTTGGCAGCATGTATACATTACGATTTTCATTGTTATGACATGACAGAATTGGCATCACTGGAAGGCTTTTGATATCAACATTCAACAAGACGTTTGTAACCTAGAAGCAAACTTTGCAATAATAATGTTTAATAAATTTATTTTTTAATATTAAATTTGTATATTTAAGTTTTAATTTAGTCAAAAATGAAGAAAGAACGTTCAGTGGATAATTCCAGACCGTTTAAATTATAAGTAGTCTACCAAGTTTTCATTTGCAGGTGTATAGATATATAAATTCATTAAAAATATTTATTTTACAGCTCATCAAATATTAAGTTTGACTGGTATTAGCTTCGAGAGGAAGAGCATAATTGTAAATATTAAATACAAATAATTTTCACTTTATTTTATCAAACTACAAAAATTTGTGTACTCATTTTTATAATAGGGCTTCGTGGAATTGACAATAGTACCTTTGAAAGACAATTTGAGAAGCATTAAACTAAATGCTAAGCAATGTAGAATTTACAGAGTCACATTAGGCGATTGTGAGGCTACTTTTCAATATTTTGATCCCTTTTTGGATATCTGCAAAAATGATTCAAAGACGTAAGTTGTTCTATGTTTTTTTCTGTAATTATGCAATTTCTACTAATAATATTGTTGATAAATATCCTTTATATTACCAGGAGATCTTTGGAGGTATTTTCTAAGTGTCATTTAGCAGCTGCTCAAAATATAGATCCTGATTGTAATGCAGGAGAATTATTTATCAATGTGCCCCATGAAGCAAGCCATCTCATTGGTGAAGGTAGAGGTTTAAGAGTTGGAATAGAATTTTCTTTAGAGCAACCTCAAGGTGGCTTGCATTTTGTTGTGCCTGAAACTGAAGGCACCATGGAAGAGGTTTGTGAAAGAAAATCACATAACTGGCAGTATTTTCATGACTGTTTTTTTTAGAGGGCAGCTCATATGTACACCTATGCACATGAAAACTCATCAAGACTCTGGTTTCCTTGCGTGGATTCTTATGCCGAGCCTTGTACTTGGAGTCTTGAATTCACTGTTGACGCAGCAATGACAGCTGTCTCTTGTGGTGATCTTGTAGAAATTACTATGACGCCTGATATGAGGAGGAAGACTTACCATTATGTTTTAAATACTCCTGCTTGTGCTCCTAATATTGCTTTAGCTGTTGGGTATGGACTAGATATATCAATATTGTATGATTTATCAATAACTTTGTGCTTTTTTCATTCTAGACCTTTTGAAACTTATGTGGACCCCCATATGCACGAAGTGACCCACTTTTGTCTACCACAACTAATGCCTTTATTGAAGAACTCTGTTCGATATATGCATGAAGCTTTTGAGTTTTATGAGGAGACTTTAGCTACAAGATATCCATATCCTTGTTATAAGCAAGTTTTTGTTGATGAGGTGAGTAAAGTTTCTTTAGAATTCAGTTTAATTTATAGATTGTAAAATAAATCCCCTTTTATTCTTTTTAGACTGTTCAAGATGTAGCTGCCTACACTACCATGAGCATTCTGAGTACTCATTTGCTTCATTCCATAGCTATAATTGATCAAACTTATATAACCAGGAAAGCAATGTCTCAAGCAATAGCTGAACAATTCTTTGGTTGCTTCATTACAATGCAGAGCTGGTCTGACACCTGGCTCAATAAAGGAATTGCTGAATATCTCTGTGGGTTGTACTCGAAGAAATGTTTTGGAAATAATGACTACAGAGAGTGGGTTAGACAGGAATTGTTGGATGTAAGTAACAGATCATATTGTCGTATTACTTTGATATATTATTTTACATTGTTCTGGCTTTCCAGGTTGTGGCTTATGAAGAACAGTATGGTGGTATAGTTTTGGATCCCAGTCAAGCACCTGCACCTCTTCCTGTTGCCGCTGCCTCTGGCACATCTCCTGTAACAGGTGCTGGAGGGCCCCAAGGACGAGGAGGCAATCACCATGCTACAGTGGCTCAAAATAATGGGCAGAATGTACACCATTTCCCTACCAGAAGTCTGCATACTATGTCACCAAAGTATATACAGGTATATGATCACATGCATTTTATTAAAGTTGGATGCATTTTATTAATGCATTTTTTTAGGCAATGAGAAAAAAGGCTCATTTAGTCATTAGAATGTTGGAACATCGGATTGGTCAAGAATTACTGCTGCAAGTGTTTAACAAACAATTAGCTTTGGCTACGAATGCTTCTACACAAAAAATTGGTAAAATACAGTTAATTAACTTATTACATATTATGATTTTTTTTTATATTCATATACTTTAGGCAGTGGATTATGGCATCATATGCTAATTTCTACAAATGTCTTCACAAAAGCTATATTTACTGTTACCGGCAAAGATATGGCTGTTTTTGTTGATCAGTGGGTCAGGACTGGTGGACATGCCAGATTTTCGCTGACATCAGTTTTTAATAGAAAAAGGTAATAATCAGAATCTTGCCATATGTTTTCTGTATTAATTAAAAAGTAAATGAATTTTCTCAATTTAATTTCTTTCTAGAAATACTGTAGAGTTGGAAATCAGACAGGATGCAGTTAGTCAAAGAGGTATTAGAAAATATGTTGGTCCATTGCTAGTTACTTTGCAAGAACTTGATGGAACTTTTAAACATACTTTACAAATTGAAAATACAGTTGTTAAAGCTGACATCACTTGTCATTCCAAGAGTCGTAGAAATAAAAAGAAAAAGATTCCTTTGTGTACAGGAGAAGAAGTTGATATGGATTTGAGCGCTATGGAGTAAGTAAAGTAAAGTTATTATTTCTGCTTCTATATCCATATTGATATATTTTTTCTTTCACAGTGATTCTCCAGTTCTCTGGATTCGCCTGGATCCTGAGATGACTCTTCTTAGATCAACTCAAATCGACCAGCCAGATTACCAATGGCAGTACCAGTTGAGACATGAGCGTGATGTCATTGCTCAGATGGAAGCGATTGATGCATTGGAACGCTACCCAACTCCTGCCTCGCGAATGGCTTTGACTGTCACTATTGAGAATGAGCAAGCATTTTATAAAGTTCGATGCAAAGCTGCTCATTGTCTGACAAAGGTGAGAACAAATATATTAGTGCTAGATAGAATTAAATGTATTACATGGTTTTAGGTGGCCAATGCAATGGTTTCCACTTGGGCAGGGCCTCCAGCCATGTTGGCTATTTTCAGAAAAATGTTTGGGTCTTTTTCAGCTGCTCATATCATACGGCAGAATAATTTTACTGATTTTCAACACTATTTTCTACAAAAAACTATACCTGTTGCAATGGCAGGTAAATGACATTCAAAGAAAATTGTTTTCAAACAATATTTGTGATTGTCATAAATGTATATAGGGTGTCCCAGAACTCAACATCAAGCCGTGATGGGGTGATAGTATCGACTAACTGTCCTGGAAAAGATTAGACAAAAAAATATCTCAAGTTATTTGAAAATTATGAGCTTTTAAGTACAATCTAGAGCTTTAAAATTGGTACCAGTGGTAAAATTGGCTAGTAAAATTGTGACCATTTTTCGATTATTGTATTACTTTTCTTCATTTATACTTTTAATTTATTCATGACAAGTTAGGTCAATACTATCACTCTGTTTTGGGTTGATGTTGGGTTTTGGGGCACCTGTATAAGTAACACTGTCAATTTTTATTTCCACAGGTCTCAGAAATGCTCATGGCATTTGTCCTCATGAAGTAATTAGATTTTTAATAGAACTATTCAAATACAATGATAACTCAAAAAATCATTACTCAGATTGTTACTATAGAGCTGCATTGGTTGATGCTTTGGGAAACACAGTTACACCAGTTGTTTCTATGGTGCACCAGGTTAGTATAATTCATATATATATATATTTATTTATTTACTAGCCAGCCCGACAGACTTTGTCCTGTCAAAAAAAATTGTAATGTGGCGGTGTTTTGTGCCTACCTTTTTTCTATTCTTTGCAAAAAATTATCCTGAACAGAACCGTCACCCTGGTAATAATTCGGTGCGAATTAAAAATAATTAAATAAAACACTATAAGCATTTAAAAGTAAGTAATTTTAATAATGAAAATCATAATTCAAAAATCAGTTCAATTTGCATTGTAGTGCTTTGTGATAAACGATGTTTTTTGTTTGATTACCTGGCGCATAGACAAACAAATCTGATGGTTTTCAAATACGGGAACAAACAACATACAATTTTCCACAAACACTTAATGATACCATAAACGCACTGGAAACGCATTGGGATGCATGGTGCAAGAACATCTTCTGCTTTATACTATCCTTTGAATATAGTTGGTCGATATTTCGCAACATTATAATTGCCGATCCAACCTTTAATTGAAGATTGTGAGGTGACAATCCTAGCAAATCCAGCGATTTTCAAAACTCCGGTGGATCGTCTTGGTTAGTTGCTGAATCAACTGATTCGCCTGTAATTTGTTCTTGAATTTTGAAATTTAATTAATTTACATCAATGTTTTTGGCTGCCAATATAGCTTGATTAATAGAAAGATATTTTCTATATTTATATAAATATATTCAAAATTAGATTATCAAAAACTACACAAAATGTCATGACATAGATCATTGTTTTTTTTTACAAATTGCGTTGCCTACTCGATTAAAGAAGAAAAGGGCTGTTTTTAGGGTTTTCCCGGCAATTATTCGTTTTTTTCTCGCCGTAACAACCATCCTTGGACTTCAACGAACATTTTAAAAAAAGAATTGGCCAAATTGGTCCAGGCGTTGTTGAGTTATGCGCTTACCAACACATTTTGCGATCCATTTTTATATTATTTATTTATTTATTTATTTATTGCTTAATATTCATTTATTTATCATAATAATATGTTTTATATTTCATCCTGCTAAATTTGAATCATTTATATTATATCAATGTTTATTTTAATTCCTAGGGTGCTCCCATAACTGCAGAATCACTATCTGCAGACACAAAACTGGTTTTGGAAGAAATAACAAGAATGCTAAATTTAGAAAAGGTTCTGCCTTGTTATAAAAACACAGTATCTGTGTCTTGCTTGAAAGTTATCAGAAAATTACAAAAATGTGGACATTTGCCAAGCAGGCCTACATTATTTAAGGCATATGCAGAGTATGGACAGTATATAGGTAGTTTCAAACTGTCAATGATTGATTTATTATAAAACACATTTTTACATTTTGTCTTTCTTCAGATGTTCGATTGGCAGCTCTAGAATGCCTGGTGGATTTTGTTCGAGTTGATGGCAGGCGAGATGACTTGAACAAACTTTTAGATGTAGTAGAGACAGATAGAGACCCCGGGGTCAGACATGCTCTCGTTAGAATGCTAATTGATAAACCGCCTTTTGAAAAAGGACACAGGCATAGGTTGGATACAGAAGGATTTGGTGGAAAGAATTTGGAATAATATCAAGTAAGATTAAATTTGTAGATTTGTATATAATACATAACTCTGCAATGGTTAATGTTTATTTATATTTTTAGTGGCATGTTGTCGCATGATACAAGACTTCGTTGTGATCTGGTAGATTTATATTTTGCATTGTATGGATCTAGAAGACCTCAATGTCTTCAAAGCAATGAAATGTCTAACTTGGTTAAACCTCAACGAGTATCAAATCCTAGGCCTAGAAGTCCACATTTTGGAGGAGAGGTAAAATAAAATGAGCATTGTCTCTTAAAGCAAATTGCTGGAACTTCATATATAGTAATTTTAAAAGTTTATAAGCTTTAAAGTTTTAAAATCTTTATGAAAAACTAAACTTTCTAACTTTAGAATAATTTGATTTTTTATTATTTGTATTTTTTAAACCTATAGATATTGAAAGCACTGAACCCTACCTTTCTAAAAAACTAATCATTTTCAGAAACTGTAGCTGTTCCTGCTTTCCAAAATACATAATAATTAATTTATTTTTTTAGTCAAAGCACCATTTCACCACCTCCATGGGCTACTTCAACAATAACAACAAACCCAGTTCACTCCCTCGCCCTTGATGTCATCTCATGACATGGACATATCATGTCCAGTGGGCATCTGAAGAGACCTCATCCAGAATCACAAGATGTTCCTGGTCTGCATAACATTAAAAGCGAAGGAGACGAAATCGATATAAAGCCTGTTAAGAGAGAATGTTTGGACATGGATGACCAACGTGGAAGACAGATTGTTGATTATTCTGATATGCACGAGGTTAAAGTTAAGGTACAATAGATTCTGATAATAACCTTTATGCATTTATTTGATCATGTTCTTTCATATCTATTTTTTGTTTATTAGAGTGAATTAGAAAGTGATAAAAATATTGAATTCATGAGGCAAAATGTAGCGCTGCCTATTGATCGAAAACCATTTGACTTGAGCAGTTCATTTGTGAAGCAGGAGTCTCAATCTGGTGCTGATGCAAGCATTTCAAAGGTGAGTTACATGTTTATATAAACAGAAAATTTAATATTATTGTAAATGTTGTTTTATGATTAAAATTCACATCTATTAAGAGAAATTCCAAAGAGTTCATAAAATTCATAGGATCTTAACATTTTCAAACAACTAACATAATTTTCAAACAATTTGCAAACTTTTTATTTTATGCACAACATTTGATATATTCTACAACATTTTCAAACAATTTATTTTCAGTAAATTTGCAATATTTTTAGGCAATATGCAACTTGTTTGTGTATATTATAACATTTTGATAGTATTTACAACATTTGAACAGTATCCACAACATTTTCAAACAAATTACATCATTTTCAGGCAATCTGCAATATTTTTAGACATACTACAACAATATGCACATATTTAAACAAATTATGCCATTTTGAGACAATTTATAGTATTATTAGACCATCTACACCTTACGACATTTTGAACATCTTCTCGATATGCTGATATTTTTATTACCACTCTAGATGAAAAAGAAAAAAAGGATAAAAGAAACACAAACATAAACATAACACAAGCACAGCAAAAGGACTCTTCAGGACAATCTATTAAAAAGCACCATAGTCATGATGGCAGCGGACAGCATACAAAGACACATCTATCTAGTGTTCTCGAACAGGATAATCAGGAGACTCTAAGCAGTGTTAGCTCAACGCCAAGCCCTGGTTCAAATTCACAAGACGTTCTTTGAGATATTTGTGATGAGGTAATTTATATAATTTGAATTATTCTAATATATATATATATATATATATAATATGTGTTGTGTGTGTGCATGTGTATGGATGTGTGGGTGTAACATTAAGAAAAATATATCAACAATAGGCTTTTCAGTAATTTGTACATATGTACATATATAGAAAAATATTAATAGACAACTGACAATATCTTCAGACAAAACATTTTTATAAAATTCAAAACATGTTAATATAATTTACATTTTCAGGCAAGTGTTGACATTTTCATACAATTTGCAACAATTCCAGATAATTGTCGATATTTTCATAAAATTTAAAACATTTTTAGACAATCTACATCATTTTCAAACAAATTACAACATATCCATACAACTGTCGACATTTTCATACAATTTACAACACTTTCAGACAATTAGAGCATCTTCAGACAAACAGCAATGCTTTCAAGCAACCTAAAACATTTTCATATCTTCTACAATATTTTAACACAATCTGCAATACTTTCAAACAACCTAGAAAATACTTTCATGCATTTTATAACATTTTCATAACATCTGCAACATTTTCATAACATCTGCAACATTTTTATACAATTTACAATTTACTATTCCCCATTGTGAGATAATGCAACCTTGCTGGAAGTAAAACGCCATTGGTTTCGTATTAATATATTTTATTTATAAATTTTATAAAATGAGAATAGTTAACTCCATTTCATTATTTTTTATAAAACAAGTAATATCATAAATAACAATTTTATTCGCTGTTAACAACATAACTGACATCTTTAATGCAAAATACAGCCCTGCAAACCGGGCAAGTGCATTTCTGCAGTAGCCACGTACTGCTTTGCTGGGGGTCCTGTCGATGAGCAAACCATCGAGCCATGCACTCATCGCACCACATGGGGCCACATCGACAGGACACACAAGCATTTGGTGTCTCATTGTTAACATTTCTGCCGTTGCGGCGATTTCTAATTCCATCTTGAGCATTGTTGGCTTCAATTTCCTCATTTGATGATGATAAGTGACACTGTTTTTGGAGTTTCACATTTGATGGTTGTTGCATGCATCCCATGCAGGAATCAGGAGCCTGGGGGAGGGAACAATAGTTGTAACTGGGTGTAAGTGGCATATAAGCTTTAAGGCAAGTTGCATGAACTTCCCGACGTGTGCAAATAACCTATTTAATCAATAAGTAATCGATATATTAATTTAATAGTAATTTATAAGTACACAATGTTGTAGTAGGACATTATAATGTGTTAAACAGTTGCTCTTGCAGCGCAAAATGCAGATTATTGAATTTTTACAATATTTCCAACTTTTAGTTATTGACAAATTATTTAATTACTATACATTATTAAATATCGAAAACGCGCATAATACATAACCGGAGTATTTTCTAAAAGTTTATTAAAAATTACTAGGTATAAGCTGCATTTTGCCTTGAGGGAAAAAACTTTGTGATATGTGTAAATAATCAAAAAAAAAGAGATTAGGCATTGTAATTGACTTGAATCGCCGAATAAACCTAAAATTACAAGTCGGATTTTCTAGCATATACAAACATAAACATTTTCTTTGGAAAGTTAATTAACGATATAAGTCGGTTTGTGTAAATGTTTGCAAATACCTGTGATGTGTAATATTTTGGGTTCCCAGCAATAACTTCTTTAAAAGCATCTATAAATCTTTCTTGGATTGTTTTATGGAACTTGACATTTGGTAAAATGATGATTTTTCTCAAAATTCGGTCCTGTAGTTCCTTAAAATCTAAAGAGTTCAATCTTATGGTAAAATGCTTGGTGCCTGCGCGTACTGGTTTGACTGATATTGTAATGTACTGCACGTCCGACCCTGTTATGTGAGACACTGTGTATGTCTCGCTCTGCAAACATAATTAGTCATTTAATTAAATTATATTAGACTTCAATTATTAAGTCTTTTATTACCCGTTCCAAAATCATTGTGGTGTCTCGCTGATGAGCAAAATAGATGGTATAAGGATAAACTTTCATAATCCAATTCTCAGTAGCAATAAATTTTGTTATAGAATTCATTTCCATTGAAAATTTGTCAATTCTGTCAATTATTAAAGCAAGTAGTTAAGTAAAATTATGAGTAATTACAAAAATCTTTCATTACCCTCTGAATTCCTGGCCAATCATTCCAGCAAGCATGACCCAATCAGTCCTTGAGTTGCAATAAGCTCTCAAATTTTTAATAATTGGATGACCTCTCCATTTATACTTCTCCCATTGGTAAACTTTAAATGCAGCCAGCATCGGTGTCACTAATGACACCAACACAAAAATCTTCCATAAGAAAGTGGCATTTGTGAAAAACAATTCAGAGAATTTTAAACCGGGGTCTGCATACCAGAGCCCTAAAATGTAGACTAATGGTAGGCATGTGTGCACCAGAAGGGTCACTTCCACTCTTCGAATGTGGTAGTGGATAAAGCACTCGTTTTCAGAACCAAGAAATTTGGAGAATAGTCTTGTTATGGTTAGACCAGCTGAGATGAATTCTGGTGGAGGGTAGACCAGACCTGCACTTAGCAGGATGTAAAATAAGGTGTAGACTGCTACTGCAGACATAGTTAATTGATTGTCTTGATTAATTGTTTTTGCTGTGAAGCCTCTAAAAATTGTATTTTCAAGGTGCCAAAGGATTGGTTCATCTAAATCTTTTCGTTGATTTGGGTAAATCAATTTTCTATGAACTGTCACTGCCACTGTCACATTTTTTGTAATCTGGTGTTTCTAATTTTCTGAAATGATATTTTTCCGAATGTTATCATAAAACTACAATAATAGTTCAAATTGGAAAGTAATAAGAATATGTTTGGAAGTGAAAATTCCAACGAGACTTCCGAAAATGTTGCAAATTAGCTGAGTGTTGTAGATTGTCTGTAAATATTATATATATATATAATTTGGAAGTGTTGTAAAGTGTCTAAAACTTTTTTCTTTGCGTTATGAAGTTTCACTTCTTTTTCTTTCTTGGGTAATAAATATTGTTTTCACTCGTAGAAAATTCTAACAAATTAAAATAAATTAATTATTATAAAAACCAATTCAAATAATGCTAAAACTGTGGAGGTTATGTATATAACATTTATTTAAAATTTTCTTTCGGGTACTAAAAACATTACAATTAATTATATTATTTACATATCGAAATCATTTCACTTAGTTATTATCAATTCATGTATTTTTTTTTTATTATTAACAATTTTCAATGAAAATTGTTACAAGACAAATGTCAAATGTCAAAATACTTGAGCAAAATTAGAAAAGTATTTTTATATAAATAAATAATGTAAAAAACGTAAAGATTTATCACAGTTTATACTAATAAAATGTCAATAATCAATAAATTTCAAATTAATTGCTATTACCATTAAATATATAAATATAAATCAACACCATTTTAATTTTTTAGTAAGATTTGGAGGTTATGTATACAGTATTGGTGTAATATATTTTATTAAATCTTTTCTTGGGGCTAAAAATATCTAAATTAATTATATTATTCATTTATCCAAATAGTTAAACTTAATTATTACAAATTTATACATTTTTTTATCAAATATAGCAAATTTTATTATATTTACATTTAAAGTAGGGCGGGAAAGTCAAAATTTAGGTATATATTTTTAAAATGAATATGGTTTAAATAATATAAAAACGTTAGTATTTATTTTGCAACTAATATAACTTTGATTACTAATATCTGATTATTCATTATTACTGCACTTTTTATCAAAAACTTAGCAAAATAAATTACTATTATTATTTTTTTTATTGCACATTTGTGTTATCCGTTATTGTTACATATTAATAATTATTTATTAATATTACCAAATAATATTTTATTATTTATTATTATTTATTTTACATGGCAACACTTCAACGATAAATCGAACAATGGCGAAATTTGTTTGAAATTATGTTTCGTTTTGTCGTTGTTGTTATTGTTTAATAATTAAATTGATATCTGAAGACATTAACAATGCTTTGTATATAAAATTAGCAAACGAATAATAAAATTAAAGGATGTGGTTTGTGAAAACATTAAATATTATGATCGAATTTCCATCGAATGCTTATAGTTGATATTATCGACGCTATTGAAATTGTTGACAAAATCAGATGTTTGGTTATTAATTGTTTCTGTTATTAGTTATAAACTTTCCGAAAGAAAAGTTTATAATTTCGCCAGAAAATCCTACTTGCTAATTTTATATTTCAAGTCATTCTGATTCCTCTGACACTAAAACAGAACGTTTTTTTGCGTCTTCCGTCCATAGATATCTAAATAGATAAATTTTGATTCATTAAGTCGTCTATCTACTTTATATTTTATACATAACTATAAGATTTACAATTTATTTGTTATTGATTAAAACGATTGTTTATCATCGGGGTGAGTTCATGCAACTTGCCTTAAGGCAAAATGCCCCTCACACGTAGTTTCTTATTTTAGTTTGCTTTTTAACTTCCCTTAGAGTAAGTTATTGTAATGGGCCGAAAATCGGAATTGAAAATTTTTACATTTCTCGACGTTTTGAAGGTTTCTGAACATTTTGGCATACCTCAGAAAAAATGGATGTGTGTGTATGTATGTATGTATGGATACAAATTTCCAGTCACGTTTTCGGGCGCACGGATCAACCGATTTGAATGGTTCATAAAACATTCGATTCCTATTGATAGGGAGAAGAGCTGATTAGTTTTTGGCAAAGGCAGGTCCAGCCGCTTCGGAGATACGGAGCAGAGTGCAGAAAATAGAAATCGACTTTTTGAGAGAACGGAGTATCCGATTTGAATGACTTAAGAAACATTCGATTTGTAATGATTGGGAGAAGTGGTTATTAGTTTTTGGCAAAGGCAGGTTCAACCATTTTGAAGATACGGAGCTAAATATGTAAAAAATGGCAGTTTTTGAGTGAACTAAGCGTCCGATTTGAATGATTCAAAGAACTTTCAGCTTGTTTTAACAAAATAATTGATTTTCGAAAAAAAAAATGTGTATATTTTTTTTTTTTTAGTTTTTTTGTATATCGAATATAATTCAGATTTTATTTTTAATTCTGACTAAAGTTCTAATATACTTTTCTTACAAATAATTTCATCTTTGCAATTCAGTTTATATAATTCTTATAAGTATTAGACAATGTTACAATATTTATAATAATCTATTTGAAAACATTCAGTATTCCTCGAACATTTCGTTACGGTACGGGAAGTTCCAGCAATTTGCCTTAAGGCACGATGCCATACACCCCACTAGTTTATAATATGGGTCAATTATCATTTGTCGGCGTCCTGAATTATTTTATTTAGCCTGATTTATTTAAAAATTGAGACCAAATTTTTTATGCCAAAAACCTAATTTTGAATGACTTAAGACCTTTGTTATGTTTTGACAAGCCTTTCGTTGTTCTTTTTTTCGTTATATAACTTGAAAAACCGGTAAAGTGTGTAAGTGGACGTCACATTGCTGGCCAAATTTCTTCACGTGAGGTACAATTTGTCAATTTAGGAGAAAAATTGAGCTTAACACTAGCAAGACTCGTGCACTAAAGGTTCTGTAGATATTTATATGTACTATATTATTTATTAACTATCTGAAAATCTAATTTGCTTCGCAAGTGTGTACCGTGATTTAAAATGTAATGGGCATTCCTCAAACACGGCTGAACCGATTCCAAAAATCTAAAAACTCGCGATTATTAGTTTTGTATACAGATCCGCTGAGCAGCTTCTTTAGAATTTAACTGTATTATTTGGGACATGTGCTGATTAGTTTTTGACAAAGATATGAAATAGTTTTAAAATTTATTTTTTGTTGATGACTTTAATGAAATATTGCATAGTGATAGAATTTAATGTGCAAATAAAACGCCTAAAATATTATAGGCCCACGAAAAGTATAATATTTATAAAATGTAAAGTTTGGAATAACGTTTTTAGGACATATATTACGTATGTCTCAAGTTTTAATTAAATTTACTTATAATTTTTATTATAAATTAATATATTTATATCTAATATATTGAATCTCAATGATTATTTTCATATACCCAGAAGTCCATGCAACTTGGATTATGGCAAAATGCCACTTAATACCAGTTATTATATAGCTATTTCTGTAATTTTATATAATTTATCTATAATGTAAAGATCATTGAAAAATCACTCTCTTTTATCTGTACAAAATATAGTTTTTTATTTAAATATGACCTTAATATGTCCACCAATGATTATTCACACATAAAAGCGAATTATTTCTAAAAATTGAATCACTTTATAAACAAAAATATAGAGAAGAGTGTTAGTAATAAAATATAGTTGTATTAATATAATGTTAATATTAAAAATTGTATTTATATTTTTAGATTTTTATATTATAAATAAGTTCTTAAAAAATTATAATGGTTAAGTGCAGTGAAAATGTATATACTTTAGTTTTATTTATATTAATAATTATTTTAATTGAAGCAAATGCCAATAGCGACAGGTAATTTCTAAAATGATAATAAAACTAGGTGTAAGTGCTTAGAACATACACGGTCTTAAATGTTAAATATTCCAAAGAATTATATATAAAGCATTCATTGTTTTACATATCTAGTATCACAGCTTGCTACTATAATATTATTATTAATTTTTACTATTTCAATTTTTTATATTTAAATTTAATCGACACATTTTGTTTTCTAGTTCCATGGAGACCACTCAACAATTGAAAGCTGAGAAAAATCAATCCAGCAATGACGAACCAAAGAATTCTACAAAAATAGTATTTGTATTATTAAATTTAAAAAAAACATTGACCACACTCTGCCCGTTAATAAATCCAAAAGATCTATACTGAACCATCCGATTCCTAGAAATTTTGATTATGCTGAAGCACCAGTTTTTGAATCGGATACAGATTATGAGAATTATTTAAAAACATATTTTTATCATGATGATGGACTAATTTCCAAGCATCAGCCGAGGCCCCATGGTGGTAAATCAAGAAGACGATATAGGAGTAGACCTAGAAGAAGGTACAGGAGACGTAGACCGGATGCAACAAAGTGCAGGAGAAAGATTTATTTTAGAACTAGAAGGAATTTTAGACATCAGAATGAAGAACCATATACTAAATTTGTTAGAGATCCAGGTGTAGATCAAGACAATTATCTAGCCTTTAATAATCAATCGACTTCATCTACAAAAAATGACGTGTTTGTCGTCTATCCAGAAGAGGTGTTGACATCAGACAATTTACCATCAGGAAAAAATGTTTTAATTGACGATAAATCGGTTGTAAGTGATATTGGTAGTATTTCAAGTTATCAATCAAAGCTTAAATCTGGCAAACAGGACCCAAAATTGTGGAAACAAGAATTGTCAGTAAATGAAGTTAAACCAAATTCAAATTTTAAACAGCCAAAGAATTATTGGCGTCACAAATCTTTAGGTAAAACTTTGAACTTGAGACAGGATAATTTATATGATTTTTTGCACAAAAGTTTTCAACTTGATGGTCCAATAACTTCAGAAACTTTACTAAAGTTACAAGTAGTGAAGCAGTTGCTTGAAGCTATAGAGAATGCATATTTAAATCAAAATAGACATATTACATCTAAATATAACATAGATGATGATTGGATACCTATCACACCAAGTCTTAATGCTATTGGGAGTTCTACAAAAGATTTAAATATAGAAAATAAAGTAAATGATAGGTTTATACAACCTAAATATGGTTTTGATGATGAGTATTATCCAGACAAATTACATGGGCCTGGACCAAGTTATATAAATGACAATTTAAGTGCTTCATCTAGCATGGTAGGATATTCCAGGCCGGCATATCATTTGTATCCACCCAACAACTGGTATTTACTTCAAAATTATCATACTTTACCAAAGTATGTATTTTCTACTCAACCAGAAGACATTGTTGGAAGTTATCCAGTTTTTGGACATATGTTAGTTCAAGATGAATTTCCCGAAAGTCAAAATATTAAAAATGGTGGTAAGCTTCAACACTTGGACAATGTATTATACAATGCACATGATAGTATTATCAATACAAGGAAAACGGCTGCAAAAGTTGATCAAAATGACTTGGATTCGAAAATATTACATTTTAAGTTAAGTCCTAATATAATAAATAACATGTTTGACAAATATTCAGTACAACATCCAAGTGTGTTGAACAATTTGAATTTTATTAAAAATTCACCGCAAGAAATCAATAATCTTGCTGATTTTGAAAATATTGATCATAATCAGTGGAAATATTATACGTCTAGTTTTATACCAGGCACTCACCATAATTTGAGACCAGTTAATGATCAGTATAACAATTTGCCTAGATTTGAGTATGTTCCTACAAATGTCAATGGTTTTAAACCAAAACCTAAACACCAATATACTAAGATGCAACACCAGCCAAGTTGGAGTCAAGATTTTAACAAATTTGTTCAAAACCAACAACAAAAACTTGCTGAAGACGATTTTGTGTACCACAAAAACCACAAATACCTTTTTCAACCTGTTCAAAAGCCAATAGCACCACCCAAACGTCAGAAGTTTGGTCAAAATTTATTTAAACCATTTTTTAAACATATACCCAAGTATGAAATGTTTGAACCTGTGCCTGGACAAATTTTAAGACCTCCAAAATTTAAGCCGATTCCTACAAAAGGGCCTTTGTTGGTAGAGGAGAAGGATAGTGACTTGAGAAAATTGAATATGTATTTGAGTTTTGTGAGGCCTTACGATGACAAGAAAATGGAGTTGAATTCCATGGAATATTTTGTGAAAAACAAGAATTTTGGACGTAGGTTTGATGAAGAGGATGTAAGACAACATTTTAAACCTGTACGGTGGACTGATGAAACCAAGTTGTTGGATAATATTTTTAAAACTAAAGCATTGAGGCAGAAACAAGAATTAGATGATCGGTCCATGAAAGAAAATCAGTTTTTTATCAATGGTACTTATAACTTTATACCACCAAATGATAATCAGAAAACACCAAAAAGTATTTTGGGTATGGCTAAGATTCACTCTGCAGACAACAGGTTGAATACTATGTCAATCGATAAATTGGGTAATATGAAAAATAGTAATCCAAGAAGTAATGATACAATTGCTGCATCAAGCAACTCCAAAGCCAATTCGAAGTTGGTGAGGATTGGTCATATAGTTTTAGCAAATAGTCATAATTTTATTGATGAAAGCAAATTGTTAGATGATATTCTTAAAATGAAAGAGAAACAAGATCCCAAAGCTATAAAAGAAAATCAGTTTTTTAATAACAGTACTGCTTTAAATGGTACTTACAAGTATATCCCATTGACTGGCAATCAGGAAACATCTAAACCTATTTTGGGTGCTGCTCAGATTGATTCTGAATACAATATTTGGAATATAGGGTCAATAAATAAACTAAATAATGTGAAAAATAGGAATACAAGAAGTAATAATACAATTGCTGCATCAAGTAACTCCAAAGCCAATTCTACGTTGGTAAAAATTGAGCATGCAGTTTTAGTAAGTGGTGGTAATTTTACTAATAAAAAGAAGAATATGAATAATAAACTTGAAACCAATGAACTAACTAAACTTGATTCCTTGGTGACAGCTGATAGACCTATTAGTAAAACAGGAGATATTGATAATTTACAAATAACAAATGTAGTTTCCACTAATCCTGCCATCGGTAATGGGATGATTGCAAAGACAAGTTCTACGAGTCTTGGACACTCTTCGAAAGCTGGTAATAAATGATTTTTTTTATCTTATGAATATAATGGACTAATATTAATGCTTTGAAAGTGCAACCATATTATATTTTTTTTATTAAAAATGTGAGTTTACCAAGTTAAACTTCTTTGAAGTGGTATTTAGGATAGTAATTTTCAAAATTTATTGTATATAATTAAGTTGTAGTGCCTAATAATTTTATTTTTATTAAACATTTTATTTTTAAGTAAGTAAATAAATGAAACATTTATAAAAATGAACCTTCATACAATTATTTTATTGAGACATAATTTTTACCAGTTTTATTTTTAACTTAAGAAATATGTGATATATAAAATCTATCTATCGATTTATACAGAACTATAAATGTTGGAATAATTCTACTTTTTAACTTTATGTTATATTATTTACAGAAAAAATAAGTTGATGATTTTTTTGTAATATTCCAGGATCGTAAAGACAATGCAGTATATTTAGTATAGTTTGAAATATTTATAACACAATAAAGCATATCAAATTTATAATATCTAAATTTTAAATATCAAGCACATATGAAAAATAATTAAATTTGTTATTGTTGGTGACACTGTAGTGAACATCTTTCTGTATACAGAAACGCATTTCAAAATGGTGGACGGTTGGCGTGTAAAATTATTATTGTGTATTGTGATTATTAATAAATAAAAGAGTGATTAACAAGTGGTTAGCTACAGATCTATTAATTAGTAAGTACTAATTATTTAATTGAACTTTGTACGGTTGTGTGATACGTTGTTTACGATAAAAATCACCCACTAAGTTTCTAACCTAGCACTTTCATATTTTATTTACAATGTCATGTTTAGTCACTGGGGTAAGCTTATTATTATTTTAACGTTTGGCTCATCATTTTAATGTAGTTTACAATTTTATATCTGCTTATATCACATGGTACAAGCACGTATGTCGTTGAATATGCGATTCTAAATATGTATATTTGGTAGGTACATGTAGGTTAGATTTTTTACTTGATTTATTTTCCAAGACTCTTTTGTGCTTACACATTGAAGACCTCAACTTTGTCTTATACTGAAGCTTTTGAATACTTTGCATACGCAATTTTAAGATAACATTTAGAGATCTAACATTGTAGCATACATAATATAATTCACACACAAATCATCGTACAATTGTTACAAAATTCTTGTCACATCTTTAATTTTATAACAACAAAAATATTATAACACAATTTTACTGAATAGGTAATATTTGAAAACAAAATGTTGATATAACATCCAGGGCTTTGGTAATGACTAAGAAGACATACTCGATATAACATTCAGAGCACCCGTAGTGATATAATGTTATTTCAAAAGGCAGCTACATAATTGTCTCTTTCTGGAAAATCATCATGTGGATTTTTAAGCTAAGTCTCGAGCGTTGATGTCATCAGTTGATCAAATGTGTTAAATACTACTAAAGGAAGATTTATGTCAATATTATAATCAAATGGTAAGATACGTGGTCTGTTCAAAAAGTACCCGGAATTTTCGTTTTTTCAAAAAAATATTTATTTATTCGTCTACATTAATGTGGTCCCCTTCAAAGTAGTCCCCCCCAGATATAATACACTTATGCCAGCGTTTTTTCCAATTTTCGAAGCACCCTTGATATTCACTTTTTTGATATGTCCTTGAGCACTCTCAGCGATTTTCTTCAATCGAGGAAAACCGCCGTCCTTTCATGGGTCTCTTCAACTTTGGGAATAGGAAAAAGTCACACGGAGCCATATCTGGTGAATTTTTGCACTTTGCAACACTTTATTTCATTTTTTACGCAAAATTTAATACAAATTCTTTGACTTTTCAATTCTTCCATTGTAAAAATCGCCGAGCTCAGAAAAACACGTCGAACCTTAGCGACTACCACAGACAAAGTAAACAGTGAATATAGCTGAAAATTTCATCATACTTTAGGGGCATGTATACCAACACAATAAAAAAAAAATTTGACAATCAGACACTCCAGACCCGCGAAATTTAATTATTAGTAATTCCGGGTACTTTTTGAACAGACCACGTATACTGTTTTACTGAAAATGTTGAAAGTACCAATTCTACGAATAAGATCTATTACAAATATTTGAAACATTACAACTGATATGGAAGCTCCTTATTGTGTCTGTGTGGCTGATTTGCACACATTTATTATGCTTTCTTCTTACTTGTGTATTTGCTCACCAAACGCTAGATGAATTGAATAGAATTTTATTTATGTAGTAGGAAGGAACAGAAATAGAAATTCTATTCTTTAAAAATACATAATTCATATGTAATTGCTACCGATTTGAAGGCAATTGAACTTTTGGTTCACACTGTATAAAGATATCATTTTTATTCTCAAATAGCAATCTTCTTTTTTTTTTATTGATAAATTAGCACATTTAGAAAAAATATTGTAGATTATCGATAAAGCTGATTTCTTTTAAACGAGATTTACATAACTAAAACTAGGTTTAATTTTTCAGAAGAAACTATTGATGGAATGCGAGTACTTACTAGTTGAAAATAATATTTGCATATGTGGAACGAGTCTCAAATACAATTGAGCATGAACACGAAGGAATAGTTATCATACAAGGAGCAGTCTTCTCTTCATTATAGTAATCATAATAATAAAAATATAATGTATTCTTGTATATTTTCTATTTAAGTTTAATATGACGTATTAATATATAATGCTACTACTTATATAAAAGATTTGTAAAATGCAAAGCTGTTTATTGCATCACAAACCTTGATGATTATGTGAAATTGATTCTCACATTTAAATCAATTTATAAAGTATACTGTTAACAATAGCAAAATATTTGTACAACAAATACAACAAATGGATTTAAAACGTTTTCATCAAAGTACATAATTTTTTAGTTGAAATAATGCAGCATTAAATTGGATCAGTCTTTAATGTTGATGTATACAGTAATTTGAGTATCATTGCATCTTTTTACTAAAAAAACAATTCTATTGTAATGAAATATAAGATTCAAGTAATTTTATTTTTTAAATTTTGTATATAAAAACTATTGTTGCAAACATCGGATATTGAAGTTAATTTATATTAAGTCATAATCCTAATCTTATTTTGGCTTTGCTTTCTGTTGTTCTTACGATTCACTTATTAGGGATTAACATATGAAAAAGGGAAATATTTTAGGTGATAGCTAAGGTTATTAGAATTTTCTTGAATAAAATGTGGAGAAAATTACATTATAATGTAATTTTCTATATACATAACTATAGTTATGATACAAAATAGAAACACTTTGAATATAATTTATAACTAATTGAAGTATTGTAGAAGTGTAAATGTTCTAACATAAAAAATAACTAGTTGTCATATTGCTTCCAGGAAAGTTGCATTAACTTTCCTTGAAAATAATCAGCTAAATCAATAAGAAATATATCTATTATTTTACGAGATATGTATTAGATGCAAAATAGCAACACTTTGATAATAAAATATTTAACTAAATCAAGTATTGTATGACAATTGATGACAGTTAGCAACATTTTATTCAATTCAAACATGGAATACAAATAATTTAAATATTATTAAACAAAAAGCGATCTTGACCATAAAATAGTTGTATTAAATCAAAGTGGTGTTTTATTTTATGCATTTTTAGTCTGTAGTTTCATTGACTGCGATTTTTTATATCCAACCGGTATATAATGTTTAATGACTTTCTTAACAATATTTATTTTTAAACAAAATTAAATAATGAAGTTTTGTGAAATTTAATTAGGTGTGCAATAAGTAGGTACTGATAATATTACATTGCAAAGCCCCTAAACAATCTTTTACATAACAAATTGTATTGTATCAGTTATAAGTCAAAAAACGCATTTTTGTGGACTAATATGTAATAATATATAAAAATTTTATCAATTACTTTAGATAAATAACGCAAATTTGACAAAGAGTTCCTTTATATGTCGATTGTAATTTTACGTTGCACTTTGCCGACAGACAAGCCCATACAACATAATAATAGTGGAGGTTCTTTCGGAAGCCGATCGGTCATTATGCAATACTGCGGACAGAGAAGGACAACGATATCATGTGCGAGTGCGCTCGAGTACTATTTCGCACTCTATTCCACGCATAGGATTAATGCGAAAGACAAGGACAAAGATATGATGCGCAGGCGCCGGCACGCGTGTCGAGCGGTGGGGATTGGCGTGCATCGACAGCACCGACAGCACTTGGCCTGCGGGAGGATTTCATTTCGATTTCGACTGCTGCGGTGTACGGCTAGAAGGGTCTCGGCGAAGTGGACTCGACCGGATTGTTTCGTAAGTTCAACATAGTTACGAATTGAATTCGGTGCGATAATTTTATATTAATTTCATGGGTTTGTAATTGTGCCCTTATCAAGTGATTTTTTTTTTCAAATAAGTTATTGATTTTCGGTATGTAGATCAGTATGTTCAGTGAGTGATGTGAATAGTGTATCGAATCTGCGATTCCGATATCCGATCACGTTTTCTACATATTGAGGTAACTATCAATTTATATTGAAATGCAATATTTTTAAACAATAGAATCGTTTCACGCCTATCTAATGTTAATGATTTATATTACAGTTACAACAATTTGGTAGTCGTCCAGACAAGATGTTGCAGTCCATTTCACAGGAGAAATTAAAATTGATGCAGTCTAATTTACATGAGGAATTGAACCTGATGCAGCACAGTTTACAGGAGAAAAGGTCAGTGGTACATATTTCTTGTATTAATTTCAAGGTTTTCAAGTTGATTTCGTAATACGTAGAACTTGTAGGTTTATTTTCAGTTTTGATAATTTTGGCTTTTCTTATACGAAATGAATTGTTTGCGTGGACGCAGTTACTGCGGCGTCCAAGTACATCTTGATTTATATATCACTAGAATTTTCTGAAATATTTGAAATCATCCATCCATTTAAACTTTCAAATATTAGTTTAAAGTATACTGAGTTGCTTGTTAGATTTTATTACTAATAGTTTTGACTTGCAAAACAAGTTATATTTTTTAAAGAATTTGCGCTTGGATTTGTAGCATTATAGAAGATGACGTAGTCTTTTCTTGTTTTATTAAATAAATTCAGTGTTTTCTATTATAATGTATTACTTTTGGGTGCATTAGAATGATTCCTTTTAACTACGTAGAAAACCAAAATGATAATGAAATTTTTGCAATTGAACTACGTGCCCTCGCACGATATCATTATAGGTAGATGTTTTGTTATCTCCTATTCAAATAAGACTCTCACATTCAATTATATAACAGTAATTGAAACTGTATTAAGTACAGTCCATAGCGTTGAAATCTTATCATAATTTACTTACATAATTTATTCTTAAAACTGCGCTAAATGGTCATTATTTTTATCTTTGTCAGATTTATAAACCATTTTGTTCACTAAAGACTTGTGTTCAATAAATTGCGACATTTTCATTTTGCGTATTATTGCTAGTAAAATTATGAAACTAGAATTAGAAACTTGTAATTTTTAATTTTAAATTACAGTAGATACTTGAATTTTTTTGTTTAGTAAAGTATCAAATTTATACAAGTAATTGCGCAATCGATGAGATAAGATTGCACAAATTTGTATTCTATTGCATTGAATTCAAATAATCGAATATTAGATTTTTAATCTTTAAACAGTTATAATGTAAGCAAAACCATTATGTAATATAATTGATTAATCAAAACAAATGCTATAGGGTTTTCATTTTTATATTTGATCTACAGATTATATGTACGTAATTAGTTTGTAATTTTTTCAAAATTACAAATATATATTTTCATGCAAATACATTTAAATATCAACAAATTAATCGAAAGGATTACGCTTTTTTGCATTGTGGATTTAAATTAAAGTATACCAAATAGTATTTATATAACCAGTTGCAATCAAATATATAATCAAATCCAATATTAATTGCTAATTACCAAGTCAATATCTTGACTAAATGATTATTTTACAAAAAATAAAGTTCGTCATGTTGTGTAGAAAATATCTGCGTATATTTCAGCATTTTATAATTAACTCAATTGCTATTTTATTATTTTAATGCGATATTTTTTTACTTTTGCATTTTAAAGACCTATATATATAATATATGCATTTGCAATATTTTGTTTTACAAAACTTCACTTTAAATGCAGAATATTTGAAATGTTACATAATTCCATATCTGTAGATAATAATCTGTCCAAATTTATAAAGCAAATCAAACAAAAGAACCGGTTTCATATATTTATATTAAATTCAGCATTTACATCAGATTACAATACATCACATTTTATGCAATCAATCTTTATTAAATGCACGTAAATTATTTGTGTATATTTGTAGTAATTATTAAATTGTAAAAATGATTAATTGATGGAACTTATCATTTACGAACAATCATTATTCAAAATGTTTCATGTTTTGACGATAATGCTTCATGACGAACGAAATTTAATTTCACCTTAAAATTTATTTTATTCAATTTTTTATTCAAAAGTAGTTGAAATTTTAGTATTTTAAAAATTAGTTCATTATTGAACAATTTTACAAAACATCTGGTCATGCTTAAATATTGTTAGGAGTGGTGTGATTTGATTGATAAATTTGAAAATAAAATTTGCAGTTTTTATGTAAATAGTTTACAAAATGGCTACTATTTTCAATTGATAGTCGATTTACTTTTGCGATTAGAAAACGTGTAGGAAATTTTATTTTGCAAAAATTTTATCAAATTTTTGTATTCCAACCTAAATCTATACTTTTACTAGCAACAATATGGAAAATAGAAATGTGGTAATTTATCACACAAGTCTTTGGCCCTTAATGAAAAATTATGAAACAATTGAAATGAGCTAATAATGAAAATTAAATAATATATTTGACAATTTATTCGTCGATGATTTTATCAGCAAATAAAATAGCTAATGTGCACATCAATTACATTACAATTGACTATAAAATATAGTCATAAAAATAATCATCATTTTCATCATATATTTGATGATTGGTTTGAAAATTATTTATTACAGTAAATAAAATAAAGCAATAATTACATTAAAAATAATTATGTGCAAATTGTATCTTTGAACGTTTACTGGAATGTCTATTAACTTTCAAATTCATAACTTATTCAATAAGTTGATTTATTCATAATTTTAATTAACTAATTAAAGGTAATTTCAATTATGATCTTGCATTTTTCATATGGTTTTTAAATTAATATCATATACGATTTTGAAATTATCTCTTACATTGGTTTGGACAAATTTGGTTTTTGATAAATTGATTAAAATTTTCCATTTTTTGTAAGTGTTAATATGGCTTTTAATTGATTTTGAGATTTTGTAATTTTTTTCGTAAAATTTCAATTATCCTGCAATTTATTTATTTAAATAAATTTTAAATAATTAAAATATTGTTCTGTAATTTTCAAATTTTGTTTTTAATTTCAATGACTTCGCATATTTTCATGAGTTTCAATATACGTTTTAACTTGAATTAGAATCTTGCATTTTCCTAATTCCTAATAATTCATTTTAATGATATTGCAGTTTATATAAGTTTTAATATGGATTTTAGTT